TCATCCAGCCAGGTGCAAGTGGAGGAGTGGGGAATCAAACCCGGTTCTCCCAGATTGGAGTCCGCGCACTTAACCACTACACCAAACTGGGTCTCAATACCGAGGGGGGAGGAGGAGGAGGAGATTGGATTTATATCCTGCCCTTCACTACCCAAAGGTGCGTGGCCTCTAATCTGGGAGAGCCGGGTTTGATTCCCCACTCCTCTACTTGCACCTGCTGGATGACCTTGGGCAAGCCATCGTTCTGACAAGAGCTGTCCTTGAAAGACAAGTTTCTGTCGGAGCTCTCTCAGCCCCACCTACCTCACAGGGTGTCTGTTGTGGGGAGGGGAAGGGAAAGGAGTTTGTAAGCCGCTCTGAGACTCCAAGTGAAGGGCAGGGTATAAATCCAATCTCCTCCTCCTCTTCTTCTCCTCCAAAATCTAATGAGATTGACCTAGCCTGGTCCATCCAGGTCAGGGCAAAGACTAACTGAGGTAGTTTGCCATTGCCTGCCTCTGCATTCCGACTCTGGGCTTCCTTGGTGGTCTCCCACCCAAGTTCAAACCAGGGCCAAACCCGCTTGGCTTCTGAGTTCCGACAAGATCAGGCTAGCCTTGGCCAATCCCATCAGGGCAGATTTACCACAGTTAAAGCAATAACGTCTGAACTGGGCCTAGCTCCGCTAACCACCAACTTCAAACCATCGTTTCAGATCCAGATTTTGATGCGCCGTAACTAGTCATATTGAGTACTTGAGAGTCCCTTGGACTGCAAGAAGATCAAATCAGTCAATCCTAAAAGAAATCAACCCTGACTGCTCCCTGGAAGGCCAGATAATGAAACTGAAGCTCAAATACTTTGGCCGCCCAATGAGAAGGGAGCACTCACTGGAGAAGACCCTGATGCTGGGAAAGACTGAAGGTCAAAGAAGACGGGGACGGCAAAGGATGAGATGGTTAGACAGTGTCATAGATGTAACGAACATGAAATTGAGCCAACTTCAGAGGACGGCAGAAGACAGGAAGGCCTGGCGAGAGCTGGTCCACGGGGTCGAGAAGAGTCGGACTCGACTGTGCGACAGAACAACAACAACAAAAACTAGTCATAGCTAATGGAGGGGCATTCAAACGATCACAGTAACCATGGTTTCTTCAGTTAACCAAAGGTTTCATGTTAAGTCTGAACTGAACACTTGCTGGGGTTCAAGCAATTGTCTCAAAATAAGTCATCCCGAGACTAAAAGCCGAGCTTTCTGAATCGAAGCACAGACACACACACACACACACAAATGAGCTAAATTCTATTTAGCTATCTGGTTTCTAAGAGAACTCCAGAGCCCTATCCTAGGGGTACATAACCATTAGGGATGCCAGCCTGGGGATCCCCCGGAATTACAGTGTATCTCCAGATACAGAGGTCAGGTCCCCTGGAAAAAATGGCTGCTCTGGAGGGTAGACTCTGTGGCATTGTACCCCACTGAGGTCCCTATCCTCCTCGGGTCCAATACCCAAATCTCCAGGAATTTCCCAAATTGGATCTAGAAGAAAAAGGAGGAGGAAGAGGAGGAGGAGGAGGAGAAGGAGGAGGAGAAGAGGAAGAAGAAGAGGAGGAGGAGGAGATTGGATTTATACCCCGCCCTTCACTTGGAATCTCAGAGTGGCTTACAAACTCCTTTCCCTTCCCCTCCCCACAACAGACACCTGGTGAGGTGGGTGGGGTTGAAAGAGCTCTTTCCAGAACTGTCCTTGAGAGAACAGCTCTGACGGAACTACGGCTTGCCCAAGGTCATCCAGGAGCTGCAAGTGGAGGAGCAGGGGATCAAACCCGGTTCTCCCAGATTAGAGTCCGCGCTCCTAACCACTACACCAGTCTGGCTCTACCCTCACCCTTGCATGTCAGACAGACCCGGCCTTCTCACTCCCATCCACAGAATCCTTTCCCAAACACTCCCGATCACATGAACCTGAGTCATGCCCGGCCGGGAACGAATCCGAGCTAATTCCACATTCTGAGCCATGGCCGTATCCCCGCTAGCGGAGAGGGAAGCATGCCGCATTAGAGAAAGTAGGTCAGGGTCGTTCCGTTCAAAGAGTGCGGGGCCAGGAAACAGGGTTTTTAAGGGGAAGGCCTTTAAGCCCTGCACCCAATGGCCCGCTTGGCGGCTTATCATATGATGATGGCTCGCGGGTGTATTTATTTGGGCGCCCGGGGAGGTCTCCCGGCTTTCGGCTCTCGCTGCAGCTCGGCTCCCGAGGGGTTTTTCGCCATGCAGAGCATAGCAGAACACGGCCGGCCGAATGCCACGGGCAAAATGACTTTCCTCTCCCGGACGGAGACCTTTGCCGCTGCCCACAGGCTGAGCAGGTAATGGCGGGGAGGGAGGGAGGGGAGAGGAGCTGGTGGTGGGAAGAAGGGAGGAGCAAGAGTTGGGTTTCCTCCACAGCCCTGTGCCAAGCGGCTGGCCTCGTCTTGGGGGCCAGAGGGTTTTAAGGCACCTTGGTGTGGAGGCCTCGCTCCCCCAGACCTGAGAGATTACCCACAATGCTCTGGGTCCTGACAACCCAGAGGGCTCGGATGCTGCTGACCACACCCCACCCAGAGAGAAGAAGAGAAGAGAAGAGGAGATTGGATTTATTCCCCGCCCTTCCGCCGGAGTCTCAGAGAGGCTCACAAACTCCTCTCCCACCCCCTCCCCACCACAGACACCCGGTGAGGTAGGCGGGGCTGAGAGAGCTCTTTCCAGAACTGCCCTTGAGAGAACAGCTCTGAGTGAACTGTGGCTTGCCCAAGGTCACCCAGCAGCTGCAAGTGGAGGAGTGGGGGAATCAAACCCGGTTCTCCCAGATTAGAGTCCACGCACTTAACCATGACACCAAACTGGCAGGAGGGCCCCACATTGCCAGAGAGAAGCCAGTGCGAGTCAGGATCCGGCTGAAGGGCAAGGGATTGGAGGGCTTGTTGTTTCACAGGGAGTTCCTGGAGGTTTGGGGAGGGGAAGAGCTTCAGCAGGGTGATAGCGCCACAGAGTCCTCCTTCCAAAGCGGCCATTTTCTCCAGGTGATCTGATCTCTGTTGCCTGCCTGGGATCCCAGGCGGTGTTCCCTCTAAGCTGAGTTAGTGTGAGCCAGCGCACAGTTCCTTAGCCTCCGGCTCACACCTTTTTGTCGGAGCTCATTGAGGATGGCTCCAGAGCAGACTAATTTACGCAGCAGCCAAATCGCCCGCTCACAACTTTGATGCCAGGAGCCCACAAAGTAGGATTTTTGCTCACAAGACTCCACAGCTTAGAGGGAGCATTGAATTCCCAGGGGCTCTCTAGACACCACCTGGAGGTTGGCAACCCAGTCCCTCCCTCTCCCCTTGCCCACCGCCTTCCTCTACCGCCATCCACCTTTATGATGTCATTTCTTCCGGCCACCGGCCACCCACTCCGTTCACCTTTGAGCGTTGACTCTCAAAAAACGTATACCCTGAAAATCTGGTTGCTCTCTAAGCGTCTGCGGGACTCGAATCCAGCGCTCTCGCTCTGTTCAGAGGGCTTAGGACCTGCGCTAGCTGGACAGGCTGGGGAAGAGAAGGCCAAGGATTGTCTGCAGCTGGTTAGGGGCAGGGTGGCAGAAGTTAAGAAGGACCAGCGGAGAAGCAAGCCAAGTCGCCCCCTCCATGGGCCCTCTTTCTGTTCTCAGAGAAATCTCTTTCACTCTCGCCTTGCTCTCACCAGCTCCTTTCGATATAAAGGTAAAGGTAAAGGTTTCCCTTGCTCGAAAGCCAGTCGAATCCGACTCTAGGGGGCAGTGCTCATCTCCGTTTCCAAGCCGAAGAGCCAGCGCTGTCCGAAGACTTCTCCGTGGTCATGTAGCTGGCATGACTAGACGCCGAGGCGCACGGAACGCTGTTACCTTCCCACCGAAGCTGTACCTATTTTATCTACTTGCAATTTCTTGCTTTCAAACTGCTAGGCTGGCAGGAGCTGGGGCCAGAGACGGGAGCTCACTCTGTCACACGGCACTCGGGTCTCGAACTGCCGAACTACCGACCTTCCGGTCTGCAGCTTCCGGTCTGCAGCTCAGCGTCTTAACCTCTACCCTCATCTATATGGATGCTGTTACTCTCTCAAGATTATTCAAAGAGCCAGAGACTGCATCCTTGGCAGCAGGGGTCAGGTGGCCAGCAGCATTAGGAACCACCGACTGCTAGAGGAACGGCGAGGGTTTTGTCCGTCCGACTGCAGCTGATAAAACTCATCTATATAAATCCCCAACAGAATAAACGCCGACAGAACTGCTTTTCAGCAGTCCCGTCCAACCCCCACCCCCACCCCCATGCAGGAGGACAGCCATTTTGTATATTTTGTTTTATTTAGGGTAGCCACTGGTGGACCCCTCCTCGGCACCGATCCATCTAGCCCCCTTTTAAAGGGATGGATGCTGGAGGCCATCCCCGCCTCCACCGCCAGCGAATCCCACAGCTTAATTACTCATTGAGTAAAGAAGGAGCTGCGGTGGCTCAAGTGGTTAAGACACTGAACTGCAGGCTGTGGAAGGTCAGTAGTTCAGCAGTTCGAGACCCGAGTGTGCCGCATGACAGAGTGAGCTCCCGTCTCTAGTTCCAGCTCCTGCCAACCTAGCAGTTTGAAAGCAAGAAATTGCAAGTAGATAAATAGGTGCCACTTTGGTGGGAAGGTAACAGCGTTCCGTGCGCCTTGGTGTTTAGTCATGCTGGCCACATGACCGCGGAAACATCTTCGGACAGCGCTGGCTCTTTGGCTTTGAAACGGAGATGAGCACCGCAACCCTAGAGTCGGACTCGACTGGCTTTCGAGCAAGGGAACCTTTACCTTTTTAAAGAAGTTTTCCCTTCGGTCTGTCCTGAACTGATTTCCCAACAATTCCACTGGGTACTCCCTAGTTCTAGCAGGAGAAAATGCTTTCTCTCTCCACTTTCGGCATCCAAAGCCCTATTTTCTGAAGGGTACTTTAACCTGCTTTTTCTCCACTCAGTCGTGGATTTAAAGCGGTTTACGGTATTAAATCCAAACACACAGAGACCAGCATGACCGAAAATATTTAAACCCAAGCTGGCAACAGATGTACAGGGAGGAGCGGGGGCGGGACTGGTGGTAGCCGTCTGCCATGGAGGGCAACAGGACGGCATTCACGTTTTCCCTTTGGGTAGACGTTCTAAGGGCAAGACTTCCTTAACCAACCATGCATGCCCATACAGCTTGCCCAGTGCTTAAATTCAAAATTACAGTGGAAACTCTGGTACCTCATCATAACTTGATTAATGCACAGCGGGTTTTCACCAGCCCATAGAAGACATAATCCCTGCAATTATTATTTTTTTGTATTTTTTGGAAATATGTGCATGTGTGTGCACCTGGAAGTCAGGGCGACCTCTGTTGACTGACCCCTAATGGGGGCCTGGGGGATAGTCAGAGAGGGGGCTGAATAAAGCCTGCCCCCACTCCCCACCTCTGGTATTCCAAGGAGGTCTCCCCTCCAAGTACTTGCCAGAGTCGACCCTGCTTAGCTTCCGAGACCTGACAATACTGGGCGATCCCTGGGCTATCCAGGTTCAGAATTTTTGATACAGTTTTCACTGGGAAAAGAAAAATACTAGAGACACCTTTGGCTTGTGGGGGGGAAATGTCTCACCGACTTAATGCTGCACACTCAAGAAAGCGTTTCTGTCTCTTTTATTCTTACGTGGCCATTTTCAATTGGATTCTTCTGAAATTAGCTTCCGAGATCTGACAAGACTGGGTGATCCCTGGGCTATCCAGGTCAGGGCGATATTTCAGAATTTTTGATACAATTTTCACTGGGAAAAGAAAAATACTAGAGATTCCTTTGGCTTGCGGGGGGAAATGTCTCACAGACTTAATGCTGCACAGCGCTTTCAGTGCAGGCTGGATATGGTCCCATCTAGTGAGACCCATCAACAGCCTGGCTGCAGCATGACAGAGATGACAGCCCCCTCCCTCCATGATGAGTCTCCATGCCAAATTTCAGATCAATGGGGACAAATTTCCTTCATTTGATGAGGAGTAGAGTCTACAAGCATTTGCCAACATGATGGGATTTAGGGTGTTACTCCTGAGACTCCGTAATGTGAACACAAAAATGGTTGCGCTGGCTGGGGAGAGGATTTCCAGTTTTCTGTCTTCCACGCGGCTCATCCAGATCCCTCTGACAACTTCAAAGCAAGCCGTGAAGGAGACACCCCCTCCCGGTTCTTGCTCTGGTATACTGCTATTGAATATGGGAGTTCCATTTTAGCGATCCTGGTTAATAGATGACGGCAGGGGTCTTGTTGTAGAAAAAGAGCTGCCGGAGCTCATTAGCATAACTCATTAGCATAACTTATTTGCATATGCCACGCCCCCTGACATCACCGGAAGTGACAGAAGGCCACACCCCCTGACATCACCGGAAGTGTGTCAGAAGGCCCGGCTACTTACCCTCCTGCTTCATCCTCATTCCCAAACGGAATGAGGATCGAAGCAGAGGGCGGGGTAAAGAAGGGGGCGGGGCTTCACCACGTGACCGCCCCACCCCCTAGAGGTTCTCTTCCGGAGCTCCGTACCTGAGAGCCCCCCCCCCACTAGAGCCCTGGTCATGCCGGCCACATGACCACGGAAACATCTTCGGACAGCGCTGGCTCTTCGGCTTGGAAACGGAGATGAGCACCGCAACCCTACAGACCGGAAGGTCTGTAGTTCGGCAGTTCGAGACCGAGTGCCATGAGACAGAGTGAGCTCCCGTCTCTGGCCCCAGCTCCTGCCAACCTAGCAGTTCGAAAGCAAGAAAATGCAAGTAGATAAATAGGTACCGCTTCAGTGGGAAGGTAACATCGTTCCGTGCGCCTCGGCGTTTAGTCATGCCGGCCACATGACCACAGAGAAGCCTTTGGACAACGCTGGCTCTTGGGCTTGGAAACAGAGATGAGCACCGCCCCCTAGAGTCGGATTCAACTAGCTTTCAAGCAAGGGGAACCTTTACCTTTTAAACAGATTTTTCGTCCATGACCAAGCGTAATCAGTAGCATATGTCCTCCAAAAAGAGTCTCACTTTGCTCAGCAAGTCTTACTCTATGGGAAGCAAAGTTAGAAGAACAGTGTTAATTCCATGTAGATTATACATTAAGTTGCCACCTCAAGCCTAGGAAATTCCTGGAGATTTGGTGACAATCCCTGCAGACGGGAGAATTTGGGGAAGGGAGTTCACCTAGAATCTATGGTAAACCAGAGAGTTTGCCTTCTGGAGCTCGGGGAATTGATCTCTGTAGTCCGTGTAGATCAGTTGTAATCCTGGGAGATCTCCAGACTTCCTGTAGGTTAGCAGCTTTACAGTTTCTGCTCTGGCTTGTGCCAGGATTGCCTATCCTAGTGCACAAAGCATGAAAGGAAAGAGGGAGGCGCCCATTTTAACCGCTGGTTTATTAATCTCTCTTCCGCCCCCCCACACCCGACTCCCTTTGATCTTCCAGCAAATTGCTCAACGATGAAGAGAACCGGAAGCTGTTCGGGAAATGCAACCAAAGCCACGGCCACAATTACAAAGGCAAGTGGCTCTCTGTGTCATGCATGCTTCGCCAGCTGTCTGTGGCCAAAGATGGGAGCAAACGGACCCTTCGGCAGGTGCCCCGGGGAGGAGGCAGCCAGCCAGGATGCAAACGTGGACGGTGGCCCATCCGGGGGAAACCTGCTCCATTCCTCCTATTCTCTGCCACGAATGTTTCTGTCCAGTTTGGTGTCGTGGTTAAGTGCGCGGACTCCAATCTGGGAGAACCGGGTTTGATTCCCCACTCTTCCACTTGCAGCTGCTGGATGACCTTGGGCAAGCCGTAATTCTCTCAGAGCTGTTCTTGAAAAGGAGCAATCTCTGTGAAGAGCTTTCTCAGGCCCACCCACCTCACAGGATGTCTGTTGTGGGGAGGGGAAGGGAAAGGAGTTTGTAAGCCGCTCTGAGACACCTTTGGGTAGTGAAGGGCGGGGGATAAATCCAATCTCTTCTTCTTCTTCTTCCCCTGGGAGAGCAGGAGAGGCGCTTCCCCAGCTCTTTGCTGCTCTCTCGTGGTTCTGAGGTGGAACTGCTGCTAATGATTACCTGACCTTTCCTGTAGGAAAGAGCCAGAGTTATTTAAAGGCTAACAAAATTTGTGGCAGGGGATGAGCCGTCCGAAGAAGTGAGCAGTGGCTCACGGAAGCTCCTACCCTGCCACAAATTTTGTTAGTCTTTGAGGTGCTCCTGGACTTTTGCTCTTTTCTACCGCTGCTGACCGACTAACTTGTCAACTCAGCTTGATCTGATCTCTCCTCTTTGCTTTTCAGTGATCGTGACTGTACGTGGAGAGGTAAGCGTTTTTGCTCATGTCTCCTTTCGCAAAGAAACACCAAATGCACAGACACCAAATCTTAGGTCCAAACTGGAGATTCACGGCATTCTTGAGGCTTGGGCCAGAGGCCTGTTTCAATGCATTAGAAAAAATGAGCTCTCCAAAGAACATCACTCTTCTATAATTTTAACAAACTTAGTTGTACTTATATAACAAATTTCCCATATTAAACCACATTCATTCTTGTGTGAAGTGCATTCCATGGACATAAGCAAAGCCAGTAAATAGTAACATAAATACAATATAAAACGATGCAAAATCTTGATGTAGTTGTTCTTAACGCTGTTTTGGCTCTGCTCCTGGAATGTTTATTCTTTAAGATGTCCTGATGGAGCTGTGACGTGTACAAAGCAGACTGAAAAGTCCTCATTTTTCAAGTTCCCGAACAGTATTTATAACTCCTTCATTTGGAAACATGTAGATCCAAGAAATGTAAGAGATAGAGAATGCACTTTCCTAGGATTAAACAGCGGTTTCGTATGTCCTTTTCAACTCTCTCTCTCTGTTGGTGTTTGTCACCAATCCCTTGACGTAGCCCTAGCAGGGATGACAATAATGTGGATCAGCATTTCTGGCCACACTGTGACAGAGTGTTGGACTGGATGGGCCATTGGCCTGATCCAACATTGGCTTCTCTTGTGTTCTTAAGAGGGGATTGGATGGGCATATGGAGCAGAGGTCCATCCGTGACTATTTGCCACAAGGTATAGATAGGAACTCTGAGTCTGGAGCAAAGGATGCTCTGTATTCTTGGTGCTTGGGGGGAGGCAACAGTGGGAGGGATTCTCTTATGTCCTGGCCCCACTGGTGGATCTCCTGATGGCACCAGGGTTCCCTCTAAGCTGGGTTAGTGTGAGCTAGTTCACAGTTTTTTAGCCTCCAGCTCACACCTTTTTGTCTTACCTCAGGAAGGATGGCTCCAGGGCAAACTAATTTATGCAGTAGCTAAATCACTTACTCACAACTTTAATGCCACTAGCTCACAAAGTAGAATTTTTCTCACATAACTCCATAGCTTGGAGGGAGCATTGGATGGCACCTGGTATTTCTGGCCACTGTGTGACAGAGTGTTGGACTGGATGGGCCACTGGCCTGATCCAACATTGGCTTCTCTTGTTCTTAAGAGGGGATTGGATGGACATATGGAGCAGAGGTCCATCAGCAGCTATTAGCCACAAGGTATTGATAAGAACTCTCAGTCTGGAGCAAGGGATGCTCTGTATTCTTTGTGCTTGGGGGGAGGCAGCAGTGGGCTTCTGGCCCCACTGCTGGACCACCTGAGGGCACCTGGTATTTTTGGCCACTGTGTGACAGAGTGTTGGACTGGATGGGCCACTGGCCTGATCCAACATTGGCTTCTCTTATGTTCTTAAGTTCCATCCAGCATTCTATTTCTGGCCACCTGGCGTCAGAAAAGCAAGGGATGAAAGCAATGGATTTTCCCCTGCTGTTGATTCCCCTGGTATACTGCCTCTGTACATGGAATCTCTATTTTTAGCTAGTCCCCAGTGAGAAATCTGCCCTCCAAGAATTTGTCCAGGCTTTCCCCCCCTTTTCAGAGCCAAGTTAGCAGCCATCTTCCAGCAGAAGTGTCAAACCCATGGGCTGGCACCCTCCCTTTTTTGGTTCTTAGGAGGGTAGCAAAACGTTTCACTCATTGGGAACTGATCTGGATTTTGGTGCTCTGAGAGGTTGATTGATTGAATGATTGATTGGATTTCTATCCTGCTCTCCCCGTGAGCAGGATCAGGGCTGATTACAACATAGAAGGAAACAATACCAACTTTAAAATATTAAAACATTATACTAAAATCATAAAACACAGTACAAGATGGCATTCTTTTTTAAAAAAAAAAATCCTAATATCCTGGCTCTCCACAATGGAAAAAATAGAAGGCCTGAGCTATCAGTTCTGATGTTGTAAACACAGTTCAGTCCAGCATATGGGCAGCTTTATTCAGCAAAATGAGATGGTTTGGTGTTTGGCTTGTAAAGGCACTGCCGTTTCATGTTTTTATATATATATTCATATTTCTACCTTCAGGGTTTATTTGAACTGTGATATCTAAGAACATGAGAGAAGCCAGGTTGGATCAGGCCAGTGGCCCACCCAGTCCAACACTCTGTATCACACAGTGGCCAAGATCAAGGTGCCATCAGGAGGTCCACCAGCAGGGCCAGAACTCCACAACCCCCCCCTTTTTCCCCCCCCCCCCAGCACCAAGGATACAGAGCATCGCTCGCCCCAGACAGAGTGTTCCTTTTAGGCCTTGTGGCTAACAGCCACTCATGGACCTCTGCTCCATATGTGTATCCAATCCATGCTATTGTAAGGTGTTTTGGGGTCACATGCCCCCAAAAAAACAAGTTTAAAGGTGTTTCAATAAACACATACCTTTTGAAATTAAAAAGAAAAAAAAACCTTGTCTTCCAGATGAACCCCATCAGTGGCATGTTTATGAACATTTACAAGCTTCAGGAATATATGCAGGTAACTCTAGGTTTCTAAAACCTTTTGAGACTGTTTATTTGTTTAGTGTTAGGAGTTAGGACTGCTCTCTGCCGAACCCAGATTCTTGAGAGAACAGAGCTCAGCTCGGCAGGAACCTTCGCTTTCGGGGAAACAGCAGCCGAATCCCTGTAAACACGCCTGACCTAGAAATCGCTTGCCTAGAGACAGGAAACACCACCAGGGGTTCTGCCGCCCTGAAAGTCCCTCCTTTAAAAGGCCTAAACCACCAGGCCCTGACTAAGGAGAGGCAAATATATTCGCACTGGGGGTCCCCAGGGGTGGCAATTCTGCCAGATCCTGAGAAGTGAATGCATTTATTTGTGTTTGGGCCAGGGGGGGTTGATTTTCTAGGGCCCGTCCGCATGTTTTAAGCTCCAGCAGGGGAAACGACAGGTACGATCAGGGGTCATTTCGTAGAAAAAGAGATGCAGGAGCTCATTAGCATAACTCATTAGCATAACTTATTTGCATATGCCGCACCCCCTGACATCGCCGGAAGTGTGTCAGAAGGCAACACCCACCACTCAGGCTCCACTGGACTGTTTTGGATTGCTGGCTATTTGGGGGGGGGGGGAGGAACGTGCAGATCTGTCCTCACAAAGGAGGGAGAGCTTGTACCTGAATAAAACTTAGTCTTAAAGGTGCCACTGGGCTGTTTTGGTTGGGGGGGCTCTGCGACTTACCTGGCTGCTTCTTGCTCTGACTGAGGGCTGCTGGGAGCAGGGGGTGGAGCTAATTAGCATAACTCATTAGCATAACTTATTTGCATATACCACACACCCACCGCTCAGGCTCCACTGGACTGATTTGGATTGCACTGCGACTTACCTGGCTGCTTCTTGCTCTGACTGAGGGCTGCTGGGAGCAGGGGGTGGAGCTAATTAGCATAACTCATTAGCATAACTTATTTGCATATACCACACACCCACCGCTCAGGCTCCACT